AGGGGCAGGGCTACTGAGAAAGTGTGGAAAGAAAAAACAGAGGGCGCACAGGCCTAGTGCATTAGCATAAAAAATGTGTAATAAAAAATAAAGTAGCTGGATCAACACCGCGCTGAGTAACAGTCCGCAATAGGGAGTGTAGACATCCAATAAGCTGACATGTTTCGAGGACTTGCCTCTTCCTCAGGGCTCCTCGAAACGCGTCAGCCTATTGGATGTCTACACTCCCTATTGCAGACTGTTACTCAGCACGGTGTTGATCCAGCTGTTCTTTTATGATGTGCCTTGACTATATTGTCGTTTGTGAGTACAAAACCTACTTTATTTTTTATTAAACATTTTTTATGGTAATGCACTAGGCCTGTGCAGTATATTTGGATTCCCCCGGTCTATTTGAGGGCAGCAAGGTGTGCATGTTCCAGGACATTCTTAATGTGGTTGTAGCCTGCATCGAGTCCATCCCCAAGCGCAGGAGCATTTGTGTTTGCTGGTTCTTTGTTCTACTCAGAAAGTGTTCCTGGTATTGTCTGGACGGGGCCAACAGGAAAGCAGGCGGGATTGGCCCGAAGGAGTTTATGATATATGTTGGCCATGACAGTGTCCCAGGGGCTGCCCATATTGACAAGCATATTATCACATTGCATTGCTGAACTCCAGTAATTGCAGCACTTTTAAAAATGGGGTTGTTTATAAGGGTTTAAGTCCATGTACACCAAATTGTGAATGTATCTCTTCTATTTACTATTTACATTTTTACTGAACGCCAGTAGTACATCCATTGCTATACTCCCGGCGCTCTGCTACACAGTAGTCGGTCTGCCAATCCCCCCCTTCCTTGTTCATTCACAGAATACTTTGTATCATGTGAATGGGTTCCCAAAATGCAAAGTCTCCTGTGATTGGGTAAGTAGAGAGAAAGAGCAGGCAGAGCTGCTGTAAATGACTCTGAAGCTACTGTTTCGGAGACCCAAAGGTCCAGCGTTGAGCGCCAGAAGTATAGCGATAGCTGTACTCCCAGCACTCAGTAAAAAATATAAACGGTAAATAAGAGACAAGAGCCCATGAGGTGGCATACACCTCATTGAATTTAACTCCTTATGAGCCAGAATATCTTTAAAAGTTCTGCAATTTCTGGAGTTCCACTTTAAGTGATCATTCTTGCCTGGACTGGAAATTTTGGTTCCCTAAGTAACTGCCCTCTGTTAGCATCATCACTTTTGTAATTCTGGTTTTGTGATATAGTGGTAATAACCTAAATGAGATGACTATTCTTACTAATGAAAGAAAAAAAAAAAAAGCATGGACAGATGGGTCCAATTATTCTACAGGAAAATGCCATCCCTTTGCTTGTGTAGCCAATAGACATGGCTCTTGGGTTTAAATCTGAGCCTGGTTCTTGGGTGATAATTTGGCATAATATGGTGATAGGGTGGGGTGGCCAAGGCCTACATATTCAAGGCTTAAAGTATCCCTCTTTTTATCTTAGAGATTTGGGAGATATGTATGAACTTTCCTCCCCGGGGAGCATTATATATCATATTAGGTAGCCAGTAAGCCTGACCAAAGGCAAAGAAATAGTTTTGTTTATTTGCTATCAAAAAAGTGCAGGGGTCCTTTAAAGCTGGACATCATTGAAGTAACATAATTTATTGACGGAGTTAAGCTTTTCCCCTTGAAAGGGTTCTGCTTGCCAGTGTAACTGTGAACATACCAATTGATAAAGGCACTTGGAAGAAATGCTGAATTCTTAAACAGTGTCAGAGGCTAGATGAGGTCAGAGTGATTCTGTTTTGGAAATTACAGCACTCTGTTTTCACGTCGGCCTTTTATACTCCACCAAACAGTCTGTTTTAATGTTCCGGTTTACACGCTAGCATTTCTTTCCATAATACCGGCTACTCGTTTTGGAAAGTAGGGTCAGCTTTACGATGCCAGCAGCGGGCACAAGGGCACAAGTGTTATAGTCCCAGTGGACCATAGCCAAATGGCATTCTTTAAGAGTCATCAGAGCTTTTCTGGATTCCACGGGGGAGTTTGTTATTGTACCTTTTTTTTTCTGCTCAGTTCAAAATTGCTGACAGTCATGAAATAAAAAAAAGACTTTTCTACAGCCAAGGATATGGAAAGCATTAAGACAGTCATATTCCCATAGCAGGATTTTAATACTGAACGTTGTATATGACTATACTAAGTCTGCTTATTGATTTCAATCTTTTGGCAAAGGGATCTTACTTTGATTTCTTGTTCTTAATAAAAATACATCTATTGCTTAAACTTCCCCTGGCATCTATTACTAGTGTTTGTAATGCAGCTCTATCCTTTGGTGGGACAATTTCCTTTTTTATTACTGTCAAAGAAAATGCTTTCCTGTCTTGCAGACCTGCAGAACTTCACATTGGGTTTTGTGGGTCTTTAAGATGCATATAGTATTACCCCATGACATCAGCCCTGTACATCCATGGTGTCCGTAAGGAGGACATCATGAGGAAAAACTCAGGGTGGTTTAAAATGGAATCTTACAAGTTCTAGTGCAAGATTTGCAGTATTTAGAAAGAGTAGGGGTCATAATGTAGGTGATGGGGCCCCTTATGAAAACCAGAGGGGCCTTCTGTCCAGGGTAGAGCTAGGGTATGGGTACCTTTGCCCCTGGTAAGGACTAATAATAATAAAATATGTTGGCCATGTGTGGAGATACTTCATGCACACATTAAGGGGGAAAAAAAGGAGAACTTGCCCAGTTTCAATTCATTGCCAGTTTCTTAAAATTTCCACAAAGTACAGAAAATCCAAACTGATATTCAATTAGTTGCTTTTGTGGGGATAAAAACAAAGGTTTGTAAGAAAATAGACATGTGTAGTTGGGCACTGCCATAAGGGACATGTACTAATGGGTATGGGTTATAAATTGGGCAATGGGGTCCCCTATCAAAACCAGAGAGGGGCTTCTGTCCAGTGTAGGACTGGAGTGGGGGCCAGGGATGCTCTTGCCTCTGGGCCAATACTAATAAGATATGTTGGGCTGATGGCCCTAAGTGGAGATACGTCATCATGCATGCATTTAAGATAAGTGCATTTGCCAGGCTCAATATGCAGGCACGTTTCGCAAACTGTCCTCAAAATTCTGAAAACCTGATTCCCATTGAAGTGTATGGGGGCAAATCATGATATTCAATTTGTTCCTTTTATGGGGCTAAGAAAACAAACGCATATCAAAAAAGAGGCATAGGAAGCTGGGGCACTGCCTTAGGGAACATACACTACTGACAAAATTAGAAAAAGAAAATTAACACACAGCTGAAAAGGGTTTATTTCAGGCGGGTTCAAGAACTCCTGATATTTACTTGTCCTAGGTATGCTGTTCAGTATATATATATTACACAGTATAGCTTAATTAGGTGTATTCTAGTATCTTCCATACCTCCTTAATGTGTTGCCAAAGTTTTGTCTTTAAGTCTTTAAGGGCCAACTGACATTGGGAGTGGCACCACAATGAACCTTGCCAGCACCCCAAAACACACATGTGTGTTGTGGTGCATTGAAAAAAGGTTAGGTGCCTATTTTGGTTTGTTAAGGTACACTGCTAGTCTATTCAAAATGAATGGGCTGCCTTCATGCAGTGTGCCTTAACTCAATGGTAAACCTTGGGGTTGATTTACTAAAGGCAAATAGACTATGCACTCTACAAGTGCATTTGCACTCATTTTCCCCAGAGCTTAGAGAATGTAGTGAAGCTCTACTGATTTCCATCATCCAATCATGTCCAAGCAAAAATGCTGTTTTTTTTTTCTCTTGCAGCTGATATGGTATTCTTTACAAAGTGAAGCTTTATCACATTCACTAAACTCTGAGGACAATGAGTGCAACTGCACTTGCATAGTGCAAAGCCTGTTTGCTTTTAGTAAATCAAAGCTATTACGTTAAGGTATGAGTGTCACTGTACATAGTCTAAATAAGCCCTAAGGAAAACAAGGGTCCATACAAGGTCAGACATAAGTGTGTGTGTCCTATTGTCCAACTTTGTTATGATCTGTATTGCAGGAAACTGTCTGTTAGATCAACCGAGAAATCAAATTCTGGGACCAGAGGAGCTTCCCGGACAGAGTTATGATGCTGTTCGTCAATGCAAACTTGCCTTTGGGCCGACATATACCGTATGTCCTGGGATGGATGTCTGCTCACGTCTATGGTGCGCTGTTGTTCGTCAAGGTCAGATGGTGTGTTTAACCAAGAAGCTGCCTGCGGTAGAGGGAACACCTTGTGGAAAAGGGAGAATATGTCTGAATGGGAAGTGCGTTGATAAAACCAAGAAGAAGTACTATTCGGTATGTATGCTTTTCCTCTTATTTAGACCCCATGGCCAGCTCTTCTGAACACCTTTTCTCCTGGAAGGAGAAAAGCAGCGTAAAAAACATGCATAAAGTCACATTTTGCAAACGCGGTTTATGTGCATTTCCACGCGTAAAGCATTTTGGCATTCATTCATTCCATTGGCCAGAATATTAATTTATTCTGGCTACTGAAATGAATGAATGTTTCAAGCCAATAATGCGAGGGTTTGTAGCCCTCAAAAAGCACGTTACATTTGTCAACATTAAAAATTGCAGTTTCCCACTCAGATTGCATCCAGGTCAGTAGATTGGAAACATCTTGTAATTTTTCTAATTCTCCTGTAGGTGGAGGAACAAGAGATTTAAGAGTACACATATATGTATTTCAACAGTGTGGTTAGCTGGTGGCCTAGAGTTCTACTGTAAATGGAGAATCTAGTTGGTTAATTGGTACCAACAACCTTTATAGGCATTGGGTTTAGAATACATAAATTTTAGCAATCTGTGCTTCTGTTGGCTTGAAGGTTTTAGTTTCATCAATCTTTTGTACTGCAGATTTCTAGTCACGGAAACTGGGGGTCATGGGGACCATGGGGCCAGTGTTCTCGCACATGTGGAGGAGGAGTGCAATTTGCTTATCGTCACTGTAATGACCCCGCCCCGAGAAACAGCGGAAGATACTGCACAGGGAAGCGTGCAATTAACCGATCGTGCAATGTTATTCCATGTCCATCTAATGGTAAGCAACGATCTTTATTATGTTTTCTCTTTGTGGGAGTAGCCAAACAGAATCACCGCATGTTTGGATAATCTACCATTGCTATAGACAACAGTTATCTTTCTACCTTGTTATTAATCCCAGAAATAAACATTTTAGAATTACAATATATTAAAAGAAGAACATCAGGTCCATTGATAAAATATCCATTTAGTTCAGTTGTGGATTTCTTCAAAGGTTATGAAGTATTTTTTTTTTTTTGTTCAGTTAGTGTTATCTAGGTGCCACATTCAAAAGCTGAAGTCAGGCTTGAAGGGATTGTATCTGCAATGTAAAGACCATTTCTGGGCAAACTTTAAAAAATAACCCACCAGTAGGTGATTAAAGTATTAGGGCAGCCTAAATAAAAAACACAAAATCAGCACATAGACATAACTTAAAGTCAATAGAATATGTCCCTTGTGCTGATGCCTCTTTTATTAGGTGAAATCCTCTTCCATCCATGACCCCCCCCCCCCCAACAACCCCCCCCCCCACAACTCCCACTGTGGCAGAGGTTAATATAGGAGGTTAATATTAGTGGAAAGCAATGGAGTCATGAATGGAGTCAGGCATTCTGGATGAGAGCCTGTGACAACCACGTAGTTCTATTAAACCCCGAAAAATTGTGGGGGTGGGGGCATTGGTCAGAGGAGGATTTCACCTAATAAAAGAACAAGGGAATACTGACTGTAAGTTATGTCCCTTGTGCTGATTTTGCATGTTTTCTTTTATATAGGCTGTACTTAGGCATTACAATAAAAAAGCAGCTCAGACTGCAACATTCATCTATTTTTTGGTACTGTGTCCTGAAACAATTTCTCATTTTCTGGACTCCCAGCAACATTTCAGCCCAGAGGATCAAGGGCATCAGTGCAGAGTGTCATGGCATTGGGTCCTCTGGGGCTATCACACACATGGCTTTGCATTCACATACAGTGATGCTGAAAGTGGCACAGAAAATGTTTATTCCAGGCAAAAAAGAGCATCCCAATGAGCAGGAGAAAGAAGAATGGAAAGAGACCTTGTAGTAGTACTTTTGTAAATAAAAATAAGTGCCATTAAAAACATAATAATACACAAGCATGCAACTGATGGGTTGTATGAAAAAAAAACGTCATCAAAGGTCCCCTCCAGTCTTTCCCCTATTCGTTGGGATGCTGTTATGCTCAGAGTGAATGCTTCCGCTTGAGAATAGTGGGCATTGCACTGCTGCCATGAATGAGGCTTGCTAAGTGACTTGCAGTGAGACGGTGATGGATGTTCTGAACTTTTCATCATTTAAGAGAGATTACTGGCAGGGCCAAGAAATTACAATGTTCAAAAGTCAGTATAAGAAACATGAAAGCAAAAGATACACATAGAAGCAGAAGAGGGAAACATTTTGGGCAGAAGAAGTGAACCAAGAGCTGGGCTTCAAGCCGGGTTAGATTTCCCTTACGCCATCACAACCTTTAGCATCTGAAGCAATGCCCCTTCCACTAGAATCACCTCTCTTAGACAGAGCATTTTATATACATAAATAATATACATTACACCTATACCAGTTATGGTTAGAAGGAACTAAAAAGAAGCCTTTACTTTAATAAGTGCTAGGTAAGGAAAGACTTTTTAAGAAAGTATCCACATTGAAGATCTCAAAGAAAACCAGAAGTACCAGTTCCCCTCCGTGCAGATGCCCGTCTCAGGAGCCGGCCCCAGCTCCACATGTGTTCTACAAACAAAGAAGTTTGCACTCCGGTGGCCTTTCAGGGCTGATCCTCTCTGACGTGTTTTACTCGCAAGGGCTTAATCATGTTGTATGAGAGGAGCCACCTTAGGCAGGGTTCTGCTGCTGCTGTATTGGATAAAGGACATATATTGTAAGTGATAGATTCAGTTTTCAACCATCTTTGTTTGTAGAAGGTATTCATACAGTATGCCTCATTCTGTCCGTGAAAAAAGAGAATTATTCCCCTTTTCATGACAGTAGGTGAATCCATGCAAGTCATTGCCTTACACCCTATTGGTCAGATGCCCATCCAGAACTACTGGTGTATAGTGGAAATATAGCCTATTATAGAGCCATTTATTGCAAACTGCCTACAGCTGTTTCAGGCCAGCAATAATTATATAAGTGGCAATAATAAATCGGGGTTAGGGCAGTGATACAAAGTCTACAAAGTTTACAGGATCTAAGTTTACTGTACCTAATGGGAAATGCAGCCTGCCTAAATCCTTAGCAGTACTGTAAATGCTATCATTCAACTCCATGCATATGAGATCATTGCATCATAGCACTGAAAAGCCTTGCTTTGTGTGTGTGAAGTTTGCGTATATATGCGTTTCAACCACGTATTCAGCTTCTTTTGTGAAGAGATAGTCTTCATTTGTTCTAATCAGGCTGTTGACCACTGCATGGTCCTCCATTATAGAAGAGTGTCCAGACTGATTAATGAATGATATAAATAAATGTAAATTTAGAGTATGTAACCTTTAAATGACTATTTTTCTATAAATTGGGATGTGCAGAGTGAGACAGAAAGATTATAAATACATGATCTAATATCACAGCGGTGAGAGCAGGGCCCTGCTGGGAACATCTCAGCATTAATAGAGAATGTTGTACAATCCCATTAGCGTCTACGGTTGGTTTTACAAGGATGCACAATTCAGCTATCAGATAATATGTGTTCCATCACACCTGGATGATTCATTTTACTGAAAATAATAATTTGCAAACAATTAAAGAATAAACAGATTCAAAGGGAAAAAAACAGGAAAAATGAAAGCGTGCAGCAAAGTGTTTAAAGTGGACCTGTCACTTCTAGATGGTGAAGGGGTAAAGAATAGGACAATAGGACAGGGGCTCTTTATTTGGCTATATGTTCTGGAGGGTTTCTTTACACTCTGAGACAGCCTAACAGTATATGGAGGGAAGAGTCAAAATGAGGTATGCAAAGTCTAGAATACATTTTATCCATCAATTTACGCAGGACTTTACATATATATTCTATGTTCATGTCAGTCCCTGCCCTCAAGGAACTTACAATCTAAGGTACCTAACTCACATTCATACATATACTAGGACCAACCAACCTATCAGCATGTCTGGAATGTGGGAGGAAACCCAAGCAGGCACAGGGAGAACATGCAAACTCCAGCCAGGTTATGCCATGGTTGGATTTGAACCAATGACCCCAGTTCTGCTTACAACTTAGTCACTGTGCTGCCCATATATAGTAGCCAACAGTAAAAATAACTACTTTTTGGGGGGGGGGGTTCAAAAGGTCCCCCCTCATCAGGCTTGAAACAAATTAAACAAAAGACTTTCTGATTGTAATGTAATTTCTTTGTGGCCCTGTATATATCTACTTGGTTAGAACTTAGTTTGGACTTTGCACACCTTTTCCACCACTAATGCTTAGACTGACCATACACATATAGATTTTTTCAGTTAGCCTACAGGCAAGCTGCATGGATAAAATAGAGATGGACGAATCTGCAACAGTGGCTATTTTAGTTTGACAGCCAACCTTGTCAACTGCAAAAATACCCGAACAATACCTACATTTGATTGGATGTAGGGTCTGTTCAACTGACAGTTTTTCACCCAGCTCCTTTGATTTTTTGATTGAGGGATTGGCTGAAAGGCAACCAATAAGGCCACCTGTGGAGAGAAATTCAGCCTGCCCACCAGGAGCTGGTTGGAATTCACTCCCTGTATAAACACAAGAGCAAATATGAATAGATGTTCTAGGCATTTCACATCATCATATAAATAACTTAATTAATATAAATTAATTCCATGATCAAATTATAATACGTACAATAGTCTTTAATCCCAACACGATTTAAAATTGCATTCTTCTTTAGAGAAGCTGAGAATTTGTGGAAATTCTATGCTCCCCTGAGGAAGAAAACAATTATGAAACACGTTGGAACTAAAGAGAATTGTACCCACTATAATTTGATCATGGAATTTATTTGCAGCTTTATATATTGTTTTAAAGTATATGCATGATATTCTTGAATAAAAAAATATGTTTTATATAGTTTATATATAATTTATGTGAATGTGTGAAATGTCTAGAACACAGGTGTCAAACATAAGGACCATGGGCCCTCCAGGCCATTTCATGTGGCCCTTGCACCTCTCCTGCAGGTACCCCCTGCACTCCTTCTCTGGTCCTCCTCCAGACCCTGCACTTTCTACTTTCCAGCTCTGGGGCTGGAAAGGGGGCCAAAGGGGGTGCATGATGATGTTAGGGAGGATGTGGGATTCTTGACATCTGATGTAATGGGAGGTGGGGTGCTCTGGACATCTAGTCTTACAGATACAACCGGCCCTTTGAGGGCAACCATAATGCTGATACAGCCCACAATGAAATGGAGTTTGACACCCCTGGTCTAGAAAGTCCCATCCAGATTAACTTTTTGTGTTTAGAATTGTTTAGGTATGTTGGCATTCAGTTTACAGGTGGAATTGCTTGGAAGTTATTTTGCTCCCTGTATGGCCATCTTTAATGGATAAGTTCACCTTTGGGAAAATGTTACCTGTTCCACCCATTTTTAGGTTTAAACATGTAACATGTTCCCATAGCCACCACCCGCCACCCCCCTCCCTCTGACAGATAGTATGGGGAGAAGTCTCCCCGTACTGTCTGGCAAATTTGAAAACAGTGCGGGCATGCGGGGCTCCGCCCACACGGCCGCATCATTCATTCACGGAATTCCGTGAATGAATGAACTGTAAGTTCTGACAGCCTTAGCGGCTGTGGGCTTGAAGTTTTCAATGACCTGCCATGGCACTGTGGAGCACCGTGATAGTTCATTGAGGCTTCCTGTCAGATTATCTGCTTGCTCATACATCCTGTACGGCAAGAAGATATTCAGACAGATCTGCAGGGGACGTACTGATCGCTGATACAATGTTTTCCAAGCCCCTGTAGGCAAAAATAATAAATGCACATTTTTTTACCTGCAGAAATGCGTGCATTTATTATTTTTGTCTAAAAGGTGAACTTATTCTTTAACAAATAGAAATATGTTTGTTACCATGAAACTTGCTAAAAAGTCTCAATGCTTGTCCTTCGATTTTTTCCACTCACTCTGACCAAAAGAAATTATTGAATCAGCTCCTTTCACTCTTAGATATATGAACAAATGTTCCAAGAATGAAAGATTTGAAATGGACTTCCATAGGTCTGAGGCCACCTTAAGTTAGGTTCTGGCTGAGAATTGTAATAATCATAACTACTGTTATGTGCATACATAACAGTAGTTATGTATTACTAACATTGACGTACAAAGCTGTTCAAAACACTGCCCCAAACTACATCACCGACCTGATATCCATTTACCACCCAAAACGTACTCTCCGCTCCTCACAAGACCTCCTACTCTCTAGTTCCCTGGTCTCCTCCTCCCATGCCCATCTCCAGGACTTCTCCAGGGCTTCCCCATCCTCTGGAACTCACTACCCCAATCCATCAGACTGTCACCTACCCTCCTCACCTTTAGGCGCAACCTGAAAACCCACCTCTTCAGGGAAGCCTACCCCGCCCTCACCTAATTGCCGATCTCCTCCACTCTTCCTACCACTCCATCCCCCACAGCTATTTCCTCCTGTACCACTATCCCCTCCCTCTTAGATTGTAAGCTCCAAGGAGCAGGGCCCTCGAACCCCTCGTGTATTGTATTGTTACTGTGCTGTCTCGTGTACTTTCTTTCATTATAATGTACAGCGCTGAGCAAACTGTTGGCGCTATATAAATACTTATAATAATAATACACTTATTAAAGTTAATCCGGACATAGACTGGTCTTTATCATGAAAGTCCGTTCATTCATGTAAATTGAATATACAGCAGATTATATCCTTTGGTGGATCATTGGAAGGTGTACACTCCCAAATTGTCAGAATTGTGGATGTAGTATGGAAAAAAGTTTAATGCAAACAAAGTTGTATCCTCTTGAATATATAATGATAGCATCATAACAAAGGGTCATTTTCATTTTTACATTAGCAACCTGGTAGGCTGTATTGGAGATAAGAGTTTTTTATTCAAATGATTCTCCGGAGAGCTGCCTAAAGGGAATTCCTCAATTCTAGTCTGTTCTGAGCAGTGATTGGTGGTGCCTGGCTCCAGAGAAGTGCAGCACGGACCATTGGGATGTAGATTTGGTGTGGTAACAGGAGCATAGAGGAAAAGACATAAAAGTACGTGCGTTTCAGCAAGGACACAAGGAGCTCATCTAGAGAGATTAAGTGCTAGTATGTTAAATGAAGGTATGTGTCGGCCTGCTATAGTATAATTAGCTCAAATTAATAGGCTTCCAGCCAGGAGGGTCAGCATGAAACAAGAAGAGTGAAGCAACTTGTTTACAGTGTCCACATGACATTTCATTTAAAGTTTTAAATTATCTTGTGTAACTCTGGGGAAATTTACAGTCATGCGGTGTGACTTCTGAGCAATTTCGCAGCTTTTTACCAACCACAGCTTAATTGCATTATTCTTCAAATGCCTTATTCAGCAAAGAGCCCTTCATTCTTAAGTGCTAATTCTTAAAGGGAAACTTTAATGGTTTAAGGTCAATGTTATTTTATTTCTTTTTTTTTTTTAGGTTTATATGTTTTAGGCTTCATGTACTCAACCTTACAGAGGCAGTATAACGCGCAGAATATATGGAGCATAGGTCACTGCGCATAGGGGTGCTTTACTCAACCCCAGCGCACTACCACACACAGCTGCCTAATGCATCTTAATGGGTGGCTGTATATGGCTGCAATGGGTCCTGGGAATGCCAATACTCAGCCTCTCCATGCTGTAAGTCCACTGTGAGGCCTTAGGGCTAGTTCACATTAGATGCAGTTCAGTGTGCTTTTTTTTTCTGCATCAAAATTGCATGCACAGTATTTTCCATGTATTCCAATGGCCCTGGTTCACACCAGTGTAGTCAGTTTGTCAGTTTCCAGTGCAGAAAAAAAAGTAGAACATGCCCCATTTTTTCTGCACAGAACCATAGTGAAACATGCCAAACTGCATCAAAATTGCACCGGAACTGCATGTGGTGTGAACTGTAAGGAAAAACGTATCCAGAATGCATCCAGAGTGCATTTTTATAGTGTGAATTGGCCCTGAAAGAGTAACTCCACTTTTGTTGAGAAAAAATATTCCCCTCTGGGTGATCCTTGTGCATTACAAGGATTTTAAAAAACCTTGTTGCAGATTCCTACTTGAAGAAACAGCTGTTGGTCTGTGTCTATGTGCTGAGTGAATCTGTATGGGACTGGTTTTATAATTATCAGTCAGCTGCTGGACCTGCAGGGATCCAGTGTGGAAAGTGGCAGGGTCTGCATCCCTTTGGACATGATTTCCCTTTCAGAGTATCACACCAAAAATAACATTTTTTTTTCAGGGGATGCTCAAAATCTGACTTGTATGCAGACATCTGGGAAAATCAGTGAGCCAATCACACAAGCAGGAAATGACATTTCTGAGGGACGTTTTGTACACCATTTGTGTACAGAATAACCCCCGGTAGCCTTATTGCATTGATTGCATTTTACAGAAAATACAGTGCTGCAAACTGAAAAGTAAAGGTCATTTTTAACAAAATGTAAAAATAATATGACTGGTGTAGCAATTGTATATGATATGTGTGTATATATATATATATATATATATATATATATATACATATATATACACACACATACGTACACACACTCAAAGGCCACTTTAGTAGGTACACCTGTTCATTTGCCTGGTAGCACAAATTGCTAATCAGCCAATCACATGTCAGCAGCTCAATGCATTTAGGCATGTAGACACGGTGAAGACGACTTGATGAAGTTCAAACCGAGCATCAGCATTGGGAAGAAAGGGGATTTAAGTGACTTTGAACGTGGCATGGTTGTTGGTCTGAGAATTTCAAAAACTGCTTATCTACTGGGATTTTCACACACGACCATCTCTAGGGTTTCCAGAGAATGGTCTGAAAAAGAGAAAATATCCAGTGAGTGGCAATTGTGTGGATGAAAATGCCTTGTTGAGGTCAGAGGAGAATGGGCAGACTGGTTTGTGATGACAGAAAGACAACAGTAACTCATGTCTATCTGAGGAATGTTTCCAGCACCTTATTGAATCTATGCCAGGAAGAATTAAGGCAGTTCTGAAGGCAAAACAGGATCCAACCCGAAACTAGCAAGGTGTACCCTAATAAAGTGGCTGGTGAATTTATATATAACAAAACTGTACATATACAGTGGGTAAAAATAGGTATTGAAATCATCATTTTTCTAGGTAAAAAAATTTCTAAAGGTGCTAATGACATTTTCACAAGGCTAAACGAAATTTATTTAATACTTCGTACAAAATCCTTTGTTGGTAATGACAGGTTGCAAAGGCCTTGAGAGAGCTCTCTGCTTTACCCATCATCAGATGTTTCTTGTATCACACCGTAGTAATGAGACACCTTTTATATATACCATCAGTTAAGACTGAACCAGCTGATATTAATTTGCACTGACAAGGGGCAGGATTGATTTCTAATTACTGATAGATTTCAGCTAGTGTCTTGGCTTTTTATGCCTTTTTGCTCCTCCCTTTCTTCATGTGTTCAATACTTTTTTCCCTGTGCCATTCAATTTTATTACACATAACTAAATTTCTGAACTTATTTGTTTTGGTTACTTTGTATGTATTGATTGCATGGGTTGTTACCAACATGTGGTAAAATTTCATGCCAATAGCACTTTTATAAATATATTTATCTAGAAAAATGGTGACATGTTCAATACGTATTTTACCAAATATATATATATATATGGTATATATTGGGGGGGGGGTCCATGAAAATGGAGTTACCCTTTAAGCCTTTTTTGCAATATAAATACAAGCTTTGCTCAAATGATTTTATATTCCACCAAAAAAGTTTCCAAGAGCGTTATGGGATAACTAAAGAGACAGCACAGCATGGTCATCTTGATTTTTATACAGTTTTGCCATACAGCACAGCCCTGGCTGGCAGGGTAACATACCTATAGGTTTTAAATCCCCAAAATAAAAAAAGGAAGAGATGCTCACCATAGAAGACAACTTTTGATTTATTAAAAGTAGTGCACAAAACAGTTCGACTGCTGCCACAAAATTTTGAACTCGTCTCACTCCTCACATGAGGCTAATCATATGGATTGCTCCTTGTTCTGCTTCTCCCTCCCCCTCTTTGAGCTCTGCTGTACAGTGTGCACAGCAGACTGCAAGAGATGCAAGCTGCAAACAAATTCAGGTGCTTACATTAAAAAATAAAAATTAAAATGTAATAATGATTTCAGAGCTGTATTGATTTACGTCTATTGATATGTACCTGGAGTTCAGCTTTAGATATAAATATGTTCTCTTATGTGTTTGGAATATAGTATGCAACAGAGTGGAAAATCCTGCAAAACTGACATTTTCACTTCTTTTCCTCGTGAAGCTAAATCATTCCGGCAGCAGCAGTGTGAAGCCAGGAACGGTTATCAGACTGATGCAAAAGGTGTGAAAACATATGTTGAGTGGGTTCCTAAGTACGCAGGAATACAGCCAGGAGATGTCTGCAAGCTTATATGTCAAGCCAAAGGAACTGGATATTATGTTGTCTTTTCCCAAAAGGTAAAGGTTTAAATGTATTCCTTTTTTTAATATTCAGAAAATTTATGGAAACTGGCTTCAGTGAAAATAGTTGGTATAATATTCCTACATTTATAAAGGCAAAAATTCCATTATCATGTTTTTGTTGCTGCTGTCAGCAACTCCAGCTTTATCTTATAAATGAATGGTGATGGTGCAATGTACTGCAACCTTAGTAAACCTGAGCAACCAAAGTTCAGTAATGGTGTAGTCAGTTTAAAGATTCATTCTGATTGGTTGCTGAAGTTTGCGCATTGCTTTTAAATGACTTGCATCTTCCCTTTATAGCTGACACCCAACTAATCTTGAGAAAGAAAAAAAAAGATAATGGTTCAACTCTGACCACAAAAAAAAAAAATTCCTCTTGCAGTGGGATTGCAAGGGTCAACTGCTCACTTTAGTTTAGGAAATTGGAGAAGGTGGATATACTTACCTAATCCTCCAATTCCCCCCCCCCCCCCCCCCCCAAGACCAGTCCCATGGTTTCCCATTGACATTCTATGAAATTGCATGCTTTTGGTGTGTTCTCTGAAAGTGTACCAACGATTCAGCATGCAGGAATTTTGGTGCGCTTTCAGAAAAGGCACCAAAAAAATGCACAATCTAATAGAAAGTCTATGGGAAACTGTGGGTTAACCACATGAAAACTGCAGGTACATTTGTGCTGCGGCCAAACCGCAATGCAGAAATGTGAAACCTGCCTTAAGCGTGCCCATAAACAAAGCCTAAACAATGTTGGGACCTTCACCCTCCCAACAAACTTTCTACCAATCCACTCCTATCCTCCTCCTCTCTTACAAGCTAATGGTTTTTTTCAACATATCTATTTATCTTTAATTATTTAATGGAACACATTCATGTAATTCCTGTATTCTCACTCAGGCAGGAATGGCATATGTAGTACTTACATACTTCCTAGGACACACATATCATGCATCCCAGAAGGCCATGGGGTATGCTACTGAACGTGCACCACGCCACGTCATCAGGGAGGTGGGCTGTCTTCTCCTGGTTTTTGCAGCTGACTCTACATTGCATCATCAGGGGACTGACTGCAAAAACTCATTAACAAAAACAGCCTTCTAATTGTGTCTCAGAAGATGGGGGGGGCATGGAATCTGGAATGCTGGAAAGATGTGATGGATCCCTACAGAACACCACTAGAATGCTGGGCACATAAATATGTTTTTTTATGTGCAATCAAGTGAATAATGTATAGGGTGCTGGGAATATAGGAGGAGGAGGGGGTGTGAAGTTCCTCTTTAACTGGAATAACCAGACAAAATATCTTCTAATACAAAGCATTTAATTATTTCCCTAAATATTGTTAAAGGAATCAGTTTTTTGTAAAAAGCAAATCTAGTTACTCCTAAAAACTCCTAAAGCTGAGCGGTAGCCACCCCAGTAAAGTTTTAATTGAAGGAACACTTTGGAAACATAGCAGATCTCAATGGGGAAAATTTATATATATTATTTTTCCCCGTCAAGATCTGCTGTGTTTCCAAAGTGTTCCTTTAATTTTTTAGAGCAGTGTGTATATAGATAGATATTTACGATGTCCAATTAACTTTTGAAATTTATCTATTACTGTGAATTATTAGTCTTTGTATCTGAAATCACTTACACTTTTTCCTGGGCAAGCAATTTTTATGGTGGAAGGAAGAAATATTTCTCAATTGCCCCATCAACACAGTCAGTGTTGATGGGGGAATCCCTCCCACAGTGCTCTTGAGTTCTGCCAGTGTGGAGCCTTCCCTGCCAGCAGATCCCAATGATCTCTGCTGGTGACTATAGCTAGCAGCAGTGATCTCATGAAAAAAAATCCAACAGGTTAGTTGTACTGAAGTTGATTGATGGATCGACTTCAGTACAACCAGCCTGCCCATAGATAGATTTAATCTTGGCTGGTTCATGCTGAGCCATGAAATCTGCCATCTCCATTCGATCCATCTATGGCCGGCTTACAATGGTTGTAAATCTTTACATACACCCAGTGAAGTGACTAGCCTGTGGTGATACACAAAGATGAAACAAATCCTCCTACATGTATCTGTTTATCTGCAACCCTCACTTCTCTATATTCCTTCAAAGTTCAGAATTTATAGAGCTTGTCTGAGCTGTCAGAAAACAAGGGGCAGAGAGCTGAAATTACATACTACAGAGCTCAGAGTGGAGAGCTCTAAGAGCTGATTGGAGGGAAGGGACACACCTATTCACACAGCACACAGGAACAGAGCTGAGTCTGTCAATCACAGGTTGTGTGCTGGAGCTCCCTCCCCTGTCACCTATTTTCTCTTGGTGTCAGGAAAACTTCAGATGTGATTCATACTAATAGCAGAGGAATGAAGCAGCAGACAGAAATGACACTTAGTGCTCTTAATTGGAGCACACTACAGAGGGATATGCTTTGTACATACTTAATGTCTGAGGTTTACAACCACTTTAACGCCTCCTTCATATGAGCATTTTTGAGCATACAATGTGATTTGTTAGAAGGTAGGCTTCTGCGTACAGCCGCCCATAGTAATGAATGGTAGTACGTGGGTTTACGCTGCTATTTCCATAGTAACATTATGCTTACTACTCAAGTACAGATGCTCTTCGAACTTTGGCAGTAGTGAACATTCTATAATGATAACTTTGTGTTTTGTCCCATAGGTGACCGATGGCACTGAATGTAGGCCCTATAGCCATTCTGTCTGTGTTAAAGGCAAATGTGTGCGTACGGGATGTGATGGAATTATAGGGTCCAAGCTGCAGTTTGACAAATGCGGAGTATGCGGCGGTGACAATTCCAGCTGTACTAAAGTAATGGGCACCTTTACAACGAAGAGGTATGGAACTTCAGTGGAGTACAGTAAATGCAATATAATTGTGATTTTCTTTTTTTGGTTCACCGTAGCATAAGATAAGGAATTACACAGCAGGAATTTTTCATTGGTACTTACAAAGGATATCATTTTCAGTGGTCAATCCATTAACTTATCTACAAGGTTACAGATCCAGATGTGAGATGATATCATTTTAAGCATGGTGTGATAATTCCATTTTCTCTTAGGGCCCATTCCCGCTATGCATTGTGTTCATATAGAATGTGCTGACAAACACCTCAACACACTAAAAATCAGACAAGTCACTTTTTTTAACACAGCACAATGCAATGCCCGGTGTGTTGCAGTGCACTGTAGTGCTGGTGGGTTGCCCACTTGCTTTGGGGATGACATTTGAGATAATGACACTGCATCTTGGTGGTGCGGCGTATAAGACGACCCCCTACTTTTCCTGCTAAAATATTGGGTTTGAGCTATACTCGCCGTATAAAGACTACCCCTCTTCCAACGCACACCAAATAAAAATGAAAAAACATAAGATTTGATTTCAATATGGTATGCTATTTCAGTATGGTATTCCAATGATGGGGGTATTCCCACTGACACCAATGATGGGGTGCTATTCCTGACACCACTGCACTATTTCACACCAATGATGAGGCACTATCTCCTCCCTGACACTAAAAAATGATGGTGCCCACTCAATGATGGGCACTATTTCATCCAGTGGAGAGAATGCCACTGACACCAATGATGGGACACTATTCCTCCCACTGACACCAATGATGGTGCCCCATCATTAGTGTCAGTGTGTGAGGAATAGTGCCCCCATCATTAGTCAGTGGGAGGAATAGTGCCCCCATCATTAGTCAGTGGGAGGAATAGTGCCCCATCATTGGTGTCAGTGGGAGGAATAGTGCCCCCCATCATTGGTATCAGTGTCAGGGGAGGAACAGTGCCTCATCTTTTGGTGTCAGTGGGGGAGGAACAGTGCCCCCTCATTGGGGTATCAGTAGGGAGGAAACAGTAGCCTCATCGTTGGTGTGTCAGTTGTGGAGGAGGAATAGTGCCCCATCGTTCAGAGGTTAGTGTCAGTGGGGGAGAGGAGCAGCTACTCCTTCTTCCAGTTCAGCCACTCGATTTTCGTTTGGGGCCGCTCGGCTCCGCCTCCTCGCCGGGTGATTGGTCGGCTGTGTGCCTTTCCAGTGCTGGCGCCCAATCACCGGTGAGGAGGCGGAGCCGAGCGGAGGCCGAGGCCGCGTGACCATCGAGCGGCCAAACTGAAAGAAGAGGAGCAGCCGCGCTTCCTGGACCGGATCGTCGTGGGACCGGAGCCAGGTAAGGTACAGCAGCCCCTCTGCCCACCCCTGTGCTTAGTGTCCGTCGGAGGAGGAGGGGGGCGGCCCCTCGAAAAAGTGCCGCCCTGACCCGGCTCGCACCGGCGTATAAGACGACCCCCGACTTTTCAGAAGATTTTCAGGGGTTGAAAAGTCGTCTTATACGCCGGAAAATACGGTACTATAAACACATAAATGTGGCCTTAAGCACACTGAGAGCTTTCTTGTTGTTTTTCTGCCCGAATGAAAGCTTATGAAAATGCCCCACAGTACACTGTTCCCAATGTAGTTTTGATGACACTGGCTAAAGGTTCAGAAATTAAAAATTATCATAAAATCAGTTATTTAAAAGACTGTAACCTGATTGGATCCATGTTCTTGGGTTCTCCTTAATACCGAAACATCACAGTGGTTGAACATTATGAATTTTAGTTTGATGGCGTAATTGTGAAGCACAGACTCCACAATGATGTTTGCTTCATCCACCATGTTGGAGTGATTGCTCTACTTCTGTAGCAGGATAATATACTGTGTATATACAGTTGTGTTCAAAAATAATAGCAGTCAGAACATCACTAACCTGATCAATCACTGTTTTTGTAGAAATGATATTTCTACATGGCAAATAATTTACTAGCAGGTGTAGTAGAGTAATAGAAATCCAACAGACCCAACAGTCATGACATGCATGCTGCTGATTCTGTGTAATTGAATCACTAATTGAAAGGGGCATGTTCAAAATAATAGCAGTGTGGAGTTCTATTAGTGAGGTCATTCATTCTTTGAAAAACAGGTGGCAATTATTGCCCTTATTTAAGGAAGGAAGGCAGCAAATGTTGTACATGCTGGGTTACAGTGCATTTCTCTCTGAAATTCTGAGGAAAATGGGTCGTTCCAGACATTGTTCAGAAGAACAGCGTACCTTGATTAAAAAGTTGACTGGAGAGGGGAAAACATAAAGAAGTGCAGATAATGATAGGCCTGCTCAGCTAAAATGATCGCAAATGCTTTAAAATGGCAACCAAAACCTGAAAGACGTGGAAGAAAGCGAAAAACTACCATTCGAATGGATAGAAGAATAGCCAAAATGGCAAGGACTCAGCCAACAATCAGCTCCAGGAAGATCAAAGAAGGTCTAAGTTACCTGTGAGTACTGTTACAATTAGAAGACGCCTATGTGAAGCCAAGCTATCTGCAAGAAGCCTCCGCAAGTCCCACTGTTGAAAAAAAGACATGTGCTGAAGAGGTTACATTTGCCAAAGAGCACATTGACTGGCCTAAAGAGAAATGGCGCAACATTTTGTGGACTGATGAAAGTAAGATTGTTCTTTTTGGGTCTAGTGGCGGAGACAGTTTGTCAGACGACCCCCAAACACTGAATTCAAGTCACAGCAACTGTGAAGACAGTGAAGCTGGTGGTGCAAGCATCATGATATGGGGATGTTTCTCATTACTACGGTGTTGGGCCTATTTATCGCATACCAGGGATCATGGATCAGTTTGAAATACATCAGAATACTTGAAGAGGTCATGCTGCCTTATGCTGAAGAGGAAATGCCCTTGAAATGGGTGTTCCAACAAGACAACAACCCCAAACACACCAGTAAACGTGCAACATCTTGGTTCCAGACCAACAACAAGATTGACGTTATGGAGTGGCCAGCCCCATCCCCGGATCTTAATCCAATAGAAAACTTGTGGGGTGACATCAAAAATGCAGTTTCTGAGGCAAAACCAAGAAATAGGGAAGAACTGTGCAATGTAGTCCAATCATCCTGGGCTGGAATACCTGATCACAGGGGCCAGAAGTTGGTTGACTCCATGCAACACAGATGTACAGCAGTTCTCAGAAACAGTGCTTATACAACCAAATATTCATTAAGTGATTCAAAGGAAAGCAAAATCTTCAAACATTTTTCAGTTTATATAGTGAATGTTTGAGTTTGTAAAGAAGAATACAAACACTGCTATTTTTTGAACAGTCTAATATTCACTTTTCTTCAATTTTTTTTAGAGGAACAACACAAATTTGATATATTTTTCTTCATGTTTTGATTTGGAATAGAATGTGTAGTGTTCCCAATGCATTTGTGTGTATGGAAATAAAAGCTATTAGAAGGATTTTGAGCTTTTTTCACTTTTTTCAACACACTGCTTTTATTTTGAACACAACTGTATATTATATATATATATATATATATATATATATATATATATTACAGGTACTTATATAGCACTGTCAATTTACGCAGCGCTTTACATATAATATTGTACATTCACATCAGTCCTAACCCTCTAGGGGCATACAATCTGAGGTCCCTAACTTACATTCATACATACACATACTAGGGCCAATTTAGACATGATCCAATTCACCTACCAGCATGTCTTTGGAGTGTGGGAGAAAACCGGAGTACCTGGAGGAAAACCCACGCAGGCACAGGGAGAACATGCAAATTCCAGGCAGGTGGTTCCGTGGTTGGGATTCGAACCAACGACCCTAGTACTGCCAGGTGGAAATGCTAACCATTTAGCCACTGTGCTGCCCATAATGTGTTGGACTATGGAAGCTTAATCCCTTCCTGCCCACCCTGGAGTCCCTTTAAGTAGTTCAGAATGCCTGGGAAGGATCGTTGATCATGTGACCACTGTCACAGTGGTCGCATGATCATATAGTGGTCCTTCTGGTCACCTATCTTTACGCCAGACCAAGAGCTGTCTTTTTGCTGAGCGCGTGCAGTGAGCATACTGCCCAAAATATAATTATCGGCAGCCCAACAATGCATATGTGCAGCGTATTGTGGATGTTAAATCCCATCCTTTTGCCATCACACATACTGTATGTGTTTGAAGGTTATAAAGGGGCTGATAAGTTTCTTCTCCACCAAATTGCATGCCTATTCTTCTGGATCACATTGAAATCTGTATGACACACCTGTTAAAACTCCTATTCAAAATCTATGTCAGGCCCAAAACTTTTTTTAGTTTTAGATGGAGTAGAGAATAAATAGAGCCACTGTCTGATTTTTACTGATTTCTTGGGGCTCTGTTAGATTCTCCCTCATTTACTGTCCTGGTGACAACAGTTTTACCAGACAGAAAGCAAGGGAATCTCTGCAATGGAGACATAGACAGAAAAATAAATCTGACAGGGCTCCTAGCATTCCCTTTCTCTACTCAGGAAAAAAAAAAAAACGCTATTTCACTCTATGTTGCTGTTGGAGAATTCCCCAAATCCCCTAACTTCCTGACTAATAAAAAAATGTCAGCAGCACAATGAGGGAAGCCCCAGATAGCAGCAGAATCCCCACAGGGGTTCTAAGCCTTCCCCACTCCAAAATTAGGAAAACAAGCTTTGGCTTGACATACACTTTTTAGTGAACCTGTGTCCATGCTTTGCACAATAATGTACTTATATATTAAAAAAAAAAAACAGTAAAGCCACCTTTGTAGTTATAGGCACTGTGGAGAAATTCATCTTCAAAGTTCACAACAGAGGCACTGAAATCAAACTTTTTTCCTCTTTTTTTACTTTTTTGGAAGCAAAATTTTAGCAGACTGACAGCCTTCTAATGTAAACAGCAGGCACTTCTAAAGCTGACCA